CAATAATTTAGCACTAGAACAGCAATGCTCACCTGGTTGCTGTGGCCACACTTCTTCTTGCGACAGTTGACAGCCCTGGGGTGCAGGCGCGCATAGCACCTGGATCAAATATTTGACATAAAGTAATTAGATTACCCTAGGTTCATAGTGAATATAAGAATTTTAAATGCAAATGCAATACTATTAACAGGTCTATCCAGGGGAAAAATCAAACACAGTATCCTCTGTGGTGATGTTTACAAACAAAGCCAATTAAATGCAAGACAGTCAACCTCAAACTCAGACAAAACAAGAACCAAGAAACTCGCAGTGATTTACAGTCTGAATGATTGGCAGGTCAGACAAAATACACATGCCTCAAAAGTTAAGTTCATAAGGCGACTTCACACATCTAATTGATTCATCATTCCAGCCAACCAACTGTGTTAGGAGCCTAGGACAGCACAAATCCCAGTCCAAAGACACTGCAACTGAACAAATAACCCTAAGTTATACTACCAAAACAAAAAGAGCTCTAGTAACATTCAACAGATAAGCCATAATACAAAGAGTAAGGGAGGATAGGCATGCCATTAACAAAATGAAGCAAAGATGTACATACTGCTAACAATAAAAAAACAGAATGCAGTAGAATACTAAATAGATGCATGGCAATGTTAACAGCTGCCATAGAATATAGCAGAAAATTAAACAATAGCATGGCAGGTCAGACAGAATGTATGCCTCAAGAGTTAAGTTCATAAGGAAACTTCACACATCTAATTGATTCATCATTCCTTGCCAATGAACTATTCTATGAAAACACAAAAGCAGCAGTGCACCGATATCAACAATGGGCACTTATACAAGTGTCGCATAATGCAGAACACTAATCAGTGGACTGGCAGGTCAGACAGAATGTATGCCTCAAAAGTTAAGCTCATAAGGTAACTTCGCACATCTAATTGGTTCATCACTCCTGCCAACCCACTGCACTGAATGCAATTGAAACAACGATATTGGATTGTCACAAGTGGACGCAAAGGACTGGAACGGAAAATGTCCCACCCGTGAAAATCAACTGCTGGAGTGGACTAGGCAGATGACAAAGTATGGGTGGGTGTCAATCTCTGGATCCATGGGGAACCCTATGCCACACATAGAGGTCAGCGAGTTAAGAACCCACGGTTCCACTAACGTGCAGCACGAGGATTGGCACATCCTAGCACAATTAAATAGGAACTCGTAGAAACAGAAATGCTTCATGTAGGTATCTACAACAAACAAGGAGCGCAATCACAGGTCGACAACATGAATACATCCACCAAAAACACAAAATGAATATTGGGACGCGGTGGAGAAAGGTGATCACTTGCGGCAAATCATCTTGTCCTGGTTGTACTTGCGGGCGAGCGCCTGGAGAGAAGGTTCAATGATGCCACCGCGGAGGCGGAGGACGAGGTGCAGGGTGGACTCCTTCTGGATGTTGTAGTCGGCCAGGGTGCGGCCGTCTTCGAGCTGCTTCCCGGCGAAGATTAGACGCTGCTGGTCCGGCGGGATGCCTGCACACGTCACGGCAGAGGAATCAGCCAGAGCACCACAGGGGAAGCGGGACGACTCTCATAAGAAATGAACTCAGAAATGGATGCGCACGATACTCTACCTTCCTTGTCCTGGATCTTGGCCTTGACATTGTCGATGGTGTCGCTGCTCTCGACCTCGAGAGTGATGGTCTTCCCGGTCAGGGTCTTCACGAAGATCTGCATCTTGTCCAACCCTGCCCTCCTCCTAAGCTCCCCGGACCAAGCTTTAGCGCGGCGGCTTCTCGTCGGCTTCGTGCACAGAGGGGCAGGGTGTGGAAGGCAGGGCGGCGGCCACCTGCTTTTATAGCACGACTGAAAGGCTAGGGTTTTCACTGGGCCGGGCCTTTTCTGCTCGACCCACGGCATGAAGGCTCTAGGGTTTCCATTGGGCCGGGGCTTTTCTATTCGACCCGAAATTATTGGGCGCACCTTGTTAGCAAATTTCGCTCAAAAAATTGTTATCAACTAAAATCACCTATATTAAATTAAATTTTCATTTTGTTATTAGTGAATCGGTTGTTTCGTCCAGTGGTAGGATTCTTGCTTAGGGACTAAGAGGTCGTGAGTTCGATCCTCACAACACCCCATTATTATTTTCACTTTTAAATTGTTATCAACTAAAATCACATATTAAACTAAATTTTCATTTTGTTATTTCCGAAGTGGGTGTTTCGTCCAGTGGTAGGATTGGGAGTAAGAGGCCGTTAGTTCGATTCTAACAACACCCCATTATTATTTTAATTTTTAAGACACAAGTTGTATTTTTTTAGAATAAAAATAGGCAAGTAAATCTTTTGATTTTTTTTTAGGGAAGAAGTAAATCATTCGATGTATTTTATACCGAGGCAGCAAGGCTCTAGGGTTTTCATTGGGCCGGGCATTTTGTGTTCGATCCGAAATTAGTGGCTTAAAACTCTATATTCAATTATTAGAATTTACATTTCACTAATTGTGAATTAGGCGTTCGGTCTGAGTGCCCCATGTTAGCGACTAAAATTCTAAATTGAATTATAAATAACATTTTACAAATTGTTAGTTTGTGCTCGTTTTGGGTGCGAGAGGTTGTGAGTTTAATTCTCACAACACCCCCATTATAATTGATTTTTTAATCACTAATAATTTGATTTGTTTTTAGTTTTTAAAAAAACATTTGTTTTTAATATGCCAGTCTAACTCAATGTAAAAAACCATCGCCACTGCCTCGGTCCCTCTCCTCTATATTTTTAGGCATGTATGTCTAGGTTCAACAAATTTGATTCACTAGTTTCATTTGTGTTTTAGTATACAAGTGTTTTTATTCGTTAGTTTTATTTGTTTTAAACTGGCTACTAAGTCCAACTCCGTGTAAAAACCATCTCCAATACCACCTCGGTCCACCCTAATTTCTCCCAACCAACAACCGCCCATGGCAGGTTAAAAAAACTCCCATGGCCAAAGGAGCAAGGGCCCAACCCCCTTACTAGATTTAGGTTTTATTGATCCTTGTTCACTTGGGGTGTTGGTTTCTCTTGTCATCCATGATGTGGTGGCGAATATGGTGCATTGAAATAACGTCTCTTCGTCCTTTTCCTACCTTGACGATCTTCGATCTGGTGTCAACGTAAGTATTAACTGAAACTGAAAGAATATTCGGTTCAAGGTAGCAAGGAACCAAAAAATAAAAAACAATTTCTACTCATGATTAACGAATTAACTAAACTGAAATACATGAATATTACTTCAATTTCTTGTATTTTGTAAGACTATGTTTGGTTTATGTGTGATGTCTCATATTTAAATTGATATATATTTGTGCTACTATATTGCTATTGCTCCCTTATCAACTATTACTATCTAAAATAGAGGCAGTCTTGTCTAAATTTGCTTTAGAACGTGTATATTTTTGTGTACATTTTTTTATCTTAACCTCTGTTGAAAAAATCGGTTAGTCGAAATGCTCGATTCCTAGAACTTTTTAGAACCTACCGATTCCCATTTCTAGGAACCGAATTTCTTTGAAATTGAGAAACCAAACTGAAAACTGAATGCCCACTCCTAACATGAAGTTGGTTATTATCTTTAAATCCTGGCAGTTGGTGTGTTTACCAGTGAAGCATTTTGTTAGTTTTTGATGCGACAGTTTTGACCTCATCCTTTGCTCTATTCTACAACAAGGTATGGCATCTTCAAATCTCTGTTCTGATGGTGAAGGATTGTAAGCCCGCATTCCCTGGAGGGTTCTTCCGGCTGATGTTCTTTCGGTAGGTACTAAATCTTGTTGTCAGTGGTGACTGATTTTAGCGATCTTCGAAGTTTGGCAAGGTTGTTTGCAGATGTCTCTTTTCTTTGTTGTATTTTCAATATGATTATTAAGCTATAGCAGGAAGTGGATGATCGAAGGAAGAAGACTAATGAATTGATTTTTACGTACTATCTTACTATTTAGATATTATTTTGTGTCATGCTGTTCGTCTTTTGTCCTTATCTTCGTTTTCCTCGATATATATAATATACACAGTACTTTTTTGAGTGTCTTCTTTGTGTTCTCATCTTGGATCGCTCCTCATACATCATCGCTGCTCAAATTCTCCTCGCCCTAAAGAAATGCAGTTCGTTGTATTCTTTCGCCCCATAAAAATTCTGTCTGCGGGCTTGCATCATTTTGTACCTGGTGTATAAAGCATTTGTTCCCGGTGTATAAACTTTGTCTCAAGGCAAACTGGGTTTTCATGATTTTATTCACTGCACAAACTTGGTTCTACACTGTATAAAGTTCTTTTTCTACCTAAACATTTTTTTGTTAGCATAATTTGTAGTAGTACAACTTTTTTTAGCATATCTGAATTAAACTTCGTTCCACCTAAATAAAAGATTTCTTTTAGTACTAGAATTCCTAAAAGTTGGAACCCAGTCCGAAATTTGGGTTTAGGAATATAAGGTGCAATGTCTCTTAAGTCTTAGGCCCACTTTGGCTATTAGAAAATGAGAATAAGGTAAAAAAAAAGAGAATGAGATCCCAGCACTTAAATTCTAGAATCCAACTATCTACACTACACCTATTATTTGGAGATTTATTTTTTACTATGGAAAAACAATAATCACTGCAAAATGAATCCAAGTATCCTTTGATTTTTTATCCATAATTCAGATTCTCTATTTTAAAAAATGTTTATCCCTTGGGGTCCGCGCATTGCGGCGTCGCCGCGACGCTGCCACTTGGGACCTCCGCATTGCCTAGAGCATTGGATCCAAGAAATGGACGGACAGGATTCAGCCTAGCGTCCACCCTTCCCCTCCAGTCGCAGCCTGAAGCTGCGGCACGGCCCCGGCTCGGTGGGCGGGAAGGGGAGAAAAGAGGGCGGGAAGGGCCACGGATTTTGCTAGGGTTTGCGGTTTCTGCTTCACACTGCCTCCTCATTCCTCACCACCACAGCCGTCGCGCGCAGGAGAGGAGGGAGGATGCCACGGAAGGTCACCAAGGCAAAGGAGGGGGAGCCGCAGCCGGCGGGCGCCGCTCAAGAGGAGCCCGCTCCGGCGCCGGCGGCACCTGCGGCCGCGTTGACGGAGGCGGAGGTGGACGAGCTGCCCAGGGCCATCGTGCGCCGCCTGGTCAAGGACAAGCTCTCCCACGTCGCGGGCGGGGACGGGGCCGAGGTCATCGTCAACAAGGACGCCATGGTCGCCTTCGCCGAGAGCGCCCGCATCTTCATCCACTATCTCTCCGCCACGTTCGTAACATCCCATTCCCACCAGTCCCACCACTCTCTGATTCAGATCCAGACTGCCCCTGGTTTACTGTGATTCTTATCCTCCGTTGCGCTGCTTGCATTGGGAGTTTGCTGCTCGGAAGAGAATGCCAGTAATCTGAAGAGACTGATACTACCATTTTGTTGAACAGGAGTAGTGACGTACAACATGTTTTATCCAATCGAATCCCGGGTATTTTGTGGAAAAATTGTAGAATGCTGCCATCAATAAAGGCTCCAAGTAATATATATGATATATTTTACTGTAGTAGTGTACTAGAGTAAATAGCAGTGCGTTTTTTGTCCGATAGCAATCTCTGCTTATCTTTAAGTAGAAGGGGTATGGAAAGGGGAATGTGTGAAATCTAACTTTTTGAAGAAAGGGTTCCTTGTATTCTAACCTGGAGGCTCTTGATTTTTCCAGTTGGAAAACGGGCTTCCAAGTTCAGTATAATCAGCTCTTCCTTATTAAGGCATCCGGGATAATAATGCGGTGGTGATTTTGTCTGCAGTGCCAATGATATGTGCAAGGAATCAAAGAGGCAGACCATCAGCGCTGATGATGTCCTCAAGGCGCTTGATGAGATGGAGTTTTCAGAGTTCGTGGAGCCCCTTAGGACTTCACTGCAAGGTCAGTCTTGCTGCCTTCATTAGCGGAGCCAAAAGTTTTTAGGAGCCTGGGCGATTCTTATTATGCAAATATATTTAGCTAAAAAATTACAGGGTTCAACTTTGATATAAAGAAATTTCTTTTGAACTTCAGCGCTGAGCCCGGCCGGCCGCCCGGGGTGGCCGGGCGGTGGCTCCGCCACTGGCTGCCTTCATCCTGTTAGCACCTTGTTAGATGTTCCATGGTGTTATCGATATGTTAAGGTAATGCAGGGCAAAGCAGCATGAGTTTGAGCTTTGGGATTGTGGGTTGTGCCTTTTACAATCTGAAGCTTAAACAAACAGGCAGCTTTTGACTCCAGTTTCCACAACCTAGGTCGTTGGATTGTAACAATCCAAGAAGCTGGTCTTCCCCTGCTTTTCACGGATTGTGACTTGAAATTACCTGCAATGCCACTCATTACAGACCCCGTCAAGTGGCACACACACAATCAAACAACCCTACGATCCAGAGCTTTTCTCAATCAGCAAGCTGTTTTTCATAAGGGTCTTTTACTTGTATGCCATTAAAAAAGATGGTCTAATCGTCTATGTCCCTAAAAAGTTCGATCTATCGTCAGTGTCCAAGCTCGAAAAACTTTTCTCTCTCACGCCATTCTGTCCGCCTTCTGTTTGATTTGCACCTTTTGGCTGTCCTGACGAGTGGGGTCCGCTGTGGCAAATGACCTCGATTGCCTCTTCTTGCCGTTGGAATTAGAGGTGGAGGCCGTGTTGACCAAGATTGACCGCTCACTCTCCTCAGGTGCGATTGAGGTCCGTCGTCGCCTTTGCACCCACCGGAGCCGTCCTCGAGCGCCCACTCGGCGGGAAGCGCGGGTCGATGCCCGACACGCACCCGCGCAGAGACGGTTGCGCTTCGACGCCGCAGACGCCATAGGGCCCGCAGCGCGTAGCCGCCGCGCACTCGTCGAAAGCGGGTAGGACCGAAGACGCTCCAGACCGGGTCATGTCGATCCACATGAGCCGCCGGATCTCGCCTTCGACGATTGAGCACAAACCGCGTGGCGCGCGGCGGCGCTGCTGCCGACGACGCCGTAGGTGTAGTAGGCCTCGTCGCGCGTGGCGGCGGCGGAAGGTGAGGAGGCCGTTGGACTTGAGGTTGGGCACCCCGTGAATCGGTACCGCCCACGGCCCGCCGCCGTGGGTGCTTGCCGACCGCGGCACAGAAGAGCTCCGGGACCCTGCGGTCGAGGCGAAGGTGTAGTCCCCAGGGCGGGTCCGCTCGCGCCACGCCGCGGCGTCATCGCGCCGATCCGGCCCGTCCGGAAGTCGATGCCGAGCTTCATGCCGGGCGGGGAGTGTGTCGATGGGGTAGTCGGCTCGCCACACCACGCCGGCGCGGGGACCCGTAGCACCAGTGTTGCCGTTCTCCGGAGCTGCGCGGTGGCGTTGCTTGCCGCTGCTTTCCGGGCGTGGTGGTGTGCGTGCGGCGGCGGCGGTGGCGTCGCCAGACCACGGCGCCATCTTTGCTCTGCCGGTAAATCGTCGCTCACGACGATGGCGAGCTCGCGTTAGCAAGACCACGAGTGCCGCGGCGTCCACGCCGCCAGGGGCGGGGCTCCTGCGGTTAGCCACCCACACGACGGTCCGCTTTCGGATGCCGTTGAACCATATCCCGAGTATCGTCCGCCCGGCCGTGTCGTCGGGTCGGTCGCGAAGAAGCCCAAGACGTATTTGGCGCGCTTCATGGACACCAGCGCGTCCGGTTCCCCATGAGCGGCGCCACCGGCGTGACCGTGTATGTGTGTCGGTGCCGCGCCGGCGTGGTGAAGGAGGAGGAGGAGGACGGCGGGCGAGGCGAGCGCAGCACCGTCGTCGCCGCGCATGGTGCCAATGCCGGTTACCGGTGGTACATACGTAACGTACGTGTCGGTCGTGGCAGTGGCAGAGTTGATTAATTGTGACCTGCGACTTTGGCGGCCTAGCCCATCATGGCGCCTATGCGTCTGTTTAAGCAGTCGTCGGTTGAAGCATGGAGCACGAAGTCGTCGGTTGAACAAAACTATACTCATCTATTTTATAAACTATGTACGTCCTTTTTTTCTTAATTGTGTTTTGTAATTCATATACTCGTGTCTCGATATGTTAAATTTATAGCGGTTAAAAAAATTTAGACAATGGACCACCATAGCTACAAATCCTGGCTACGCCATCGAGGCAGGGTCGATTCTGTTGATTCAGAATGTGGGGTTTATCCCATCTGGAAACTGCATACGCGCGGCTGATGTGCTCGCCTGCGTCAACGTAGAGACTAGAGAGGTGCTTGTGGCAGCCGGCGGCGGCGGGGCAGGTATTGCTTCCGAGCTCCGATCGTCCAAAAGGACAAAAGCGCACCCTGAGGGAACGGATGCCTTCGTTTTTGCCCTGCGTGTGGGGGTCCCTCCATCACTGTTCCTGGGTCGATTTTGCTGCAAGCTAAGTGTGCTGTGTTGACCACATGACCGGCAAGTTGGCGCCAAGGCCAACCTTGTTGGCGCCAAAAGCCATCAGGTTGCCACCCAGCAGGCAGTGGCACATGAGAAACAAAAGTTCTAGGGGCATTCAAGCCCTTTGCCACCTACATTTCACACCGTTAATGCTGCAAATAGACAGAATGGCGTGAGAAAGAAGTTTTTCGAGGTTAGACACTGACGATAGATCGAATTTTTTAGGGACATAGACGATTAGACCATCTTTTTTAATGGCATACAAGTAAAAGACCCTTTTCAGAATCCCTAGCTGAAACAAACATGCCATTACTCATTGCTATACTTGCTTAAGCATTAGTGTCATAGTCCATTAGGTTGAGTCAAGGTTATTAACAATACTCACAAGTTCTTGGAGATTCCATCCCAATAATTTCCTACCAATGAGAATGCCAATCCATATGAGTTTGTATACAACTCTTTGGAGGTTTTTGAAGTGAAGTCTATTTTATCTATAGCCCATCTGATCTGATTTCATCCTTTGCCCTCATTCTTTCCGTTTCAGAGTTCAGAAATAAAAATGCAGACAAAAGGTCAGAAGCAAACAAAAAACAAAAGGAAAAGAGAAGGAAATTAAATGAAGAGACACTTCCGCAGAAGGAAAATGATCCAGCTGATGATGCCAAGGAGAATGACGAGTAGCTTAATCGCAATAAAAAAAAAGAGAATGACAGTTAGCTTTTCTGCTGGAGTGGTAGTAACACGCAGACGCAGAACCCAGAAATGGCAGTGTTTATGTTGGTAGTAGTATGTGGCTATTTGCTCTGTGCTCCATGTTGCCTCTGTAGTGCAAAACATTTTCTAGACTTGATATGGTGCTGTATAATTCTAGTGCATTGTCAATTTTCAGCTTGCTGATTGTGCAATTAAAATTTTGTACCTGATGAAATGGTGATTTTATAAATGATGTCAGCACCATGTCAGGTTGGCAAGTTGCTGGTTTTAGGGGGTGTTTGGTTGCCTCTCCTAAATTTTAGTCGTCGTCCCATTTGACAATGTTTTGCTACAGTAAATATATGCTAATGACGGATTAATTGGGCCTAAAAAATTCGTCTCGTGGAGTACTGATGGATTATGTAATTTATTTTTTATTAGTATCCGAACACTTTATGCAATATTTTCCCGACATACCTCTTAAATTTTAGTAGCCAGATCTAAACATCCCCTTATTCAATAGCTCACGTCTTCCTAGATGTTGAAATTGGATGTGTTGTGAGCTAATTGGTGTAGTAGTAGCGTACTTATAAAGTTTGACTTTCATACACTTCTGCAATCCCATGTGTCTATCCGGACAACCATATTCCATACTTTGGGTTCAATATCGATTTGATTGACACATTAGCCATGAAACATTCAACATGATGGTATAACCTTCAAGGAAGGTCTCAGTAATATGGAAGGCCTGACGCTAATTGAACAATATTTAGAAGTTGGTGTCGGTTTGGCAGAACCAATAAATGCTCGTCTTCTTGCAATGACATTACATTTTGGCAAATTTTGCTATTGACATGTCAAATGACGCGTCTCTGCTTGCGGACACTGCGTTTTCCATCTTTTGCCGTGAGACACTTTGGTTTTTGGAAATACTGCCAGTGGGCACTGCAACCTAGTTGCACCCGGTTTTGGAGAGAGAAAACTTCGTTTTGGACATCGGGTGCCCCTGAACCAGACTTGGCACCGTCCCAACCTAGTCTGGTTCGACCCAGTTGTAACGGCCGGCCCGCACCCGACTCCGTCGTTAGGGTTCCAGGCGCGCCATTTCCCCAATCCCGCTGCCGCCGCTCACTCCCAATCGCGCCGCCACCCACTCGTCTCCACCGCTCATCGTGCCGCCGTCCACCCAGTGCCCGCCGCCGCTGACAGATCGAGCCTCGGCCGTCATCTGCCATGGGGGGTTGAGGATCTAGAGTTCCCCCGCGCCCCGAAGATGAAGTCCCCCAGCTCGAAGAACGGGCAGTGCCCTAGGTCTCTGCCTAGGGTTCCGCAATTCAAATGGCTAGTGAAAGGGTGTCTTTTGAATCCCTACTATTTGCAGATGAATGCCTACGAATGTGGTAGAATGCTTGCGGTTTTAAAATCGTTTAGTTTTGTTATCCTTTGTGTTGATTTAGGATGGATCCGACTTCCGCGTGTAGACTGGCGATTAGCGTACCTGCATATGTAGAGCAAAGACCAGATGGGTTCGATGATTATCATGTAACTGTTAATTACATGCGTGTGGTAGACAAGGATAAATTCTCTTGGATGGGGTTTCTTGGGTGCCTTGGTGAGGAGATAGTCCATGGGGTCGACCAAGAACTGTAGGTCACCTTCTTTGACAAAACCAAGGATGAGACAGTGCGCATAGATTCTGATTCTGCTCTGTTACATGCATTTGATGTGTATTGGGTCAATGATGATGGTGGTGCTGACCCTGCTTACTATCCTGACAATGACCCAGAAGATGATGACCCATTAGTTGTGGACGATGGGAGGGACTGTGACGGTGTTGTTCATGTCACTGATATAGATAACCCTAAGATAGGTCTTGGTGTTACTTTTAAAGATGGTTTATGCTTTAAGAGATGTATTAGACAATATGCTGTGCTTAATGAAGTTGAACTTGTAGTTCCATATAGTGCGTCACGGTGGTACCGAGCATATTGTAAGGCCAAGAGATGTCGGTGGAGGATTCATGCATCTCAGTTACCTGATGGCAAGACATGGCAGATATGTGAGCTTTGTAATGCTTCATTTAGTTTAATTTAGTTATCAATTGTTGTGTGCTAACCGTTGGTTGATGGCTGCAGATTAAGAAGCTACCACACAAGCATAATTGTGCTAGCACAAGCAAATTCCAGAACAACTGTATGGCTAACAATCACTGGGTGAAGGACAGAGTTATAAACTGGCTTAGGGAAGATCAACTATTGGAGCTAAAGATTTGAAGCAGAAGTTGAAGGAGAATTTTTGTGTACAGCTGAGCTACTACGTGGTTTGGGACGGCAAGCAAATGGCCTTAGATGAGATCATGGGTGGCTGGGAAGATAGCTTTGTACATGTGTTTTCTTGGAAAAGGGAGATTGAGAAGAGGAGTCCTAGCAATGTTGTAGAGATTGAGTGGCAGATTGTAGATGAGAAGAGAAGATTTAGTAGGATGTTTGTAGCACTAAAGCCATGCATAGATGGCTTCCTGCAAGGTTGCATACCTTATTTAGGAATTGATTCCACAATTTTGACAGCAAAGTGGAAGGGACAGTTAGCATCAGCTGTAGGGATAGATGGCCACAACTAGATGTTCCCAGTGGCCTATGGAGTATTTGGCAGTGAGACCAAGGAGAATTGGGAATGGTTCATGAAGATGCTGCACAAGGTTATTGGTTCTCCAAATGGTCTTGTTATTTCAACTGATGCAGGTACGTTGCATTCATTGTGCTCTTGTTTTTCAATTGAGTTTTGTATGTTCCCCACCTGACATTGTTTCCATGCTTACTAACTGTAGGCAAAGGAATAGTGTCGGGTATCGTAAAAAGGGGGTACCCTAAGCAAAAGCCGAAAAAACTCATAAAACCCCCATAAGGCCTCCTTAGTCAATAGTTCACGGTGACGTCCGAGGCCGGCTCGACCGAATCCGATCTCGGACCAAATCTCCGCCTCGCCCGAGGCCCCCGGTCAGGGTCTCGGAGGTCCCGATCCCGCTCCACCTCGCCCGAGGCCGGGCTCGTCCCGTGTCCTCGTTGCCTCCGCCTCAACCGTCCCTCTAGCAGGCTGTCCCATCCATTTAATGCCCCTGCGAGCACCTGCTGCGTTAGTCACGACCGGCAGGGTACAGCAACAGGGGCGATAGGACAACGGTCAAATCTCCTTTTTACCATCCCTTACTGACGGTGTAGGGGTTACCGTGCCCTGTGGACACATGTCCCGCACTATTCCACCTAAACCGAGTACGACGCTGACCGCCGAGGCCCCCGTATCGCACGCAGGGCACGTCCAAGGCCTCGGATGGATAACTAGCTCTCCGCCTTGCCAGTGGCCTCAGAGGCCTCGGACAGGAAACCGATTCTCCGACTCGCCCGAGACCCCGCCCAAAAGGCCTCGGGCGAGTTACCAACGCTCCACCTCGTTCAAGACGGGCTCGGCAAACCACCCCATCGCCTTCGCCTCGACCAACCACTCCCACGACATCATCCGGATGACAGCTAGGAGTGGCCGACGAGACGCAAATCACATCGGCACCATGCCGCCCGAAACAAGACAAGGCAGGAGTTACCGACCACTGTGCGCAGCACTGTGCCCACGACTAAATGTCCATACCGCACTATGCTGCCTAACTCTAACTACTTCGAGGACAACGCAGCGTGGGGAGTTAAGCTCGGATCCCTGTAGCCTTGGAATCAGTGTGCAGGGTCAGCCGCTCCACCCACGCCTTGACAATTTACCTCAGGGTCTCGACAACCTTGGTCTTCACACCGCCGAGCCCCCCACGATGGCTCGGCCTCGGCACCGGCTAAGCCTCGGCGACTGTGCGGACAACGACTACTTACGACCGCGACGCCGCTCGTCGTGCCCTCTGACGAGCTATTACATCGTCTGAGATCGGATGTGACCGCGCGCCGCTCCCGGCACACTTCAAAGGCGTAACCACTCCATCGATTTTTCCGCCATAGCAGAATAAAGTTATAGGGCTCGGACAGGCCGCCTCTGTTCACACGACGCCACGTAACTAGCGCATGTATCACCCCCATCCCCCTTCTACTATAAAAGGGAGGGACCGGGGATGTTTCTAGGGACGAGACACATGGGCCTAAACTGGAACACACTTAGGCACATACGAACTCACGAGGAAGACGAACACAGGCCATAGTACCCACACTTAGATCAGCGTCTCGAGCAATTTGTCCCGTTCATCATAGAGACTTGGGGCTAGCACCCTCTCTCGCCCTGCTTGTAACCCCCTACTACGAGCACTTTGGTGCAAGGAATACAAGATCGATCTCCTAGACTGGACGTAGGGCACTGATTGCCTGAACCAGTATAAACCTTGTGTCTCTTTGCATCACCATCCGGGATTAGGGGCACGCAGTACAAATTTACTAGTTGGTTGAGGACCCCCCGGTCCGAAACACCGACAGTTGGCGCGCCAGGTAGGGGACTCTGCGTGTCAACTTCGTCATCCCAACAAGTCCCGGATGGCAGACCCCGTACGACCACTGCGTCTCGGCACGGTGATCTAGTTCGGGAGCCTAGAGTTCATGTCTTTAGGACGTGAGTACGATATGGTGCTCCTCACACCCCGAGCCCCGCCGACCGATGTCGGCATCACGCACTCGCAGCCCAGGCGCAGACGGCGCCCGGGCGGCCGCTCTCATCGCGCTCGCCAGACACGACGCGAGCGAGGCCACGCCGACACCACGCGAGCTCTTGGTGACGCACTGCGTTCTGCCGGCGCCCCATGTCCAGCTGTTGGCGCAAGATCCCTGATTGGGGACTTGACTTGCCTGAGCATAGCCTCCTGAGGGATCGACTTCGGCAAAGCATAGCCTGGCAATGGCACCATCCCCGTACCCCTTCGGGTTGAGAAACACCGCCGCCACCTATGCTTCCGCCTACGCCTCTGCTCACGCAGAGCCCTCAGAACGCCACCAACGCTTCGCCCTCGATTT